TACCCAAAAGTAATATTGCTGGGTCTTGAGGTAGGTTGTTTCCTAATTTTCTGAGAAATTGTCATATTGATTTCTAAAGTGGCTAAACCAGTTTGTATTCCCACCAGCAATGGAGGAGTGTTCCCTTTTCCTCACAACCTCTCCAGCATAAGTTGTCATCAGTGTTTTTGATTTTGGCCATTCTTCCAGGTGTAAGATGGAATCTCAGAGTTGTTTTGATTTGTATTTCTCTGATGACTAAGGATGTTGAGCAATTCCTTAAGTGTCTTTCAGCCATTTTAGATTCCTCTGTTGAGAATTTTCTGTTTAGGTCTGTATTCCATTTTTTTTTATTAGATTATTTGTTCTTTTGATGACCAATTTCTTGAGTTCTTTGTATATTTTAGACATCAGTCCTCTGTCCAATGTGGGGTTGGTGAAGATCTTCTCCCATTCTGTAGGCTGCTGTTTTGTCTTGTTGACTGTATCCTTTGCTTTACAGAAGCTTCTCAATTTCAGGAGGTCCCATTTATGAATTGTTTCTATCAGTGTTTATGCTCCTGGGATTCTATTTAGGAAGTGGTTTCTTGTGCCAATTCATTCAAGTATAATTCCCACTTTCTCTTCTATGAGGAAATTAACCCATAATTCTTATCTATGTTTAGCCACATATCTTGGTACCATTTTTCAGCAAGGCATTCTCATCTTGCTTCTTCTGTCTCTGGCTGGTGACTGCATCTCTGCCTTTCCTCATCCCAAAATTCTCCTAGTCTGGTTGCCCTGCCTATACTTCCTGCCTGGGTACTGGCTACTCAGTGTTTTATTAAACTAATATGAGTGACAAACCTTTACATGTACAAACGCATTATCCCACAGCAATGGTGTTTTATCATAGCAATATAAACCTAACTAAGAGAAATTCAGACTGTGTTCCAGATTCAAGTGGGATTTCTGGCAAGTCTTTACCTGGTGGTCCCTCTGTCCATCAGAGGCACAAAGTACCTATCTTTTGATAATGCTGTCAATAATAGTTGTTATATAACATAGCTGTTTAAATTACATAATTTCCCCCCAAGTGCTGAGGATCAAACCCAGGACTTTACACACAACAGATAGTGTTCAGTAACTGAGTAGCAACTTAGCTATTTCTGTAATTTTATTTTTGATTGATGTGGGATTACCCTCTGAATGCTGTGATTACCATTAATGAATAAAAACACTGCTTTGGACTTTTAGCAGAGCAGAATTTAGGTAGGTGGGGAAACTAAACTGAATGCTGGGAGAAAGAAGGGTGGAGTCAGAGAGAAGCCATGTAGCTCTGTTGGAGACAGACTCTGGAACTTTAGCTGGTAAGCCACAGCCATATAGCTATACACAGATGACTAGAAATGGGTTAAGTTAATATGTAAGAGTTAGCCAATAAGAAGCTTGAGCTAATGGGCCAAACTGTGATTTAATTAATACAGTTTCTGTGGATTATTTTGGGGCTAAGTGGTCAGGAACCGACAAGTGGCCTTCTTCCAACATTTGATTACCTACTGGATTATTATAAGGAGGAGGCATGACCTTCTAGTATGTGGTTATCTTTAGGTATAGTTCATGTTGAAGGGAAGACAAATATCCAGTTGTCACCCATTATTTTAAAAATTCTTCAAGAATCCTGTGATGCTGTATTATTGGGTTTTATGCATCCAATTTTTGAATATGCCAGATCTGCTTTGATTAACTGCTTCTGCTCTTCCTGATGATAGTCTATGGCCATTCTTTTGGCAACGCATGTTGTTATATGGCCTCACAGTGTCTGTTCTCCTGCCCAACTTCTGGTTTTCCTCCCACCCTAGCATCAGGAACATAGGTCAGAAACTGCTTATGGGTAGGTATACTACTCAGCCCTCCAATGCTGTTTCTAGGTGTCCTTTGAGAGACTGATTTCTTCCCTAGGGTCAAACTCTCCTTTGTGTCTCTGGCCACCGGTGCCAACTAGATGTGGATGTCACACCCTTTCCCTGTGAGTTTTCACCATGTGCAACACCGTAGTAAATACGTCTGTGCCATTAGGTCATGGTGTTTTATCATAGCAATATCACAGACAAGGCCGAGTTACCAAGATCTTCAGTCCCCTTCAGGCCTCCTGCCTTTATCAGGCTGGACAGAGCAGTCTTTTTAGATTATCCCACTGCTGAAAGCCCATCTGAATGCCCCTAGACCACCAGGACTTCGTGACTAGTGGGAACACAGTGATGCCTGCTTGGTGGACTCCCAGGTCCCTCTCCTCTCTCCTTTCCCCTTTTCTTCCTAGCTCTAGCAGTTCCGTGAAGGACTAGCAATGCTCAGCTGAGGGCTTTGAAGCCCTGTGCAGATCCACAGCTCTTATCTGGGCATATTGGCTTCCCCAAGGCTCACCTGACTATTCCTTCTTTCTCTGGGCCCAAGATATGATTATCTGACATGTCTGTACATTGATGTTTGACTTAGTTGCTTTGGTGGAAGGCTCACACAACCCTTTGTATGCTCATGCCCATTTTGCAGTCAGGGCTAGAGCTGTGCCTACATTTCACATGCTTTCAGTCACTGTAGGTGAAACAACTCCACTGGGGCCTTGAGGTGCAGGTGCCTAGTGACATCAAGGAGAGCCACAGCATTTGTGAGTGACAAGAACAGCGTCCCAAGGGAATAGGAACTAGCCAAAAAATGGTATCCAGGATCCAGGATGAGTTTTACAGCGTCTCAAGGGAGTAGGAACTAGCCAAAAGACAGCATCCAGGATCCAGGATGAGTTTTACTTTTCCTCTGTGCAATTCTGCTCCCTAGCATACTCTACTCAGGTGCTACGGGATCCTCTCAGGATAGCTAGGGGCAAGAGATGGCTCCTGAAGGAGAATATAGCAAAGTCGAATACTGCAGGGCTCACGGAGGTGTTAACAGACCGTGGATTTAGTCTCACAATGTTCTGGAGCCCTAGGTCAAGCATTTGTTGGAAAGCAAGGCAAAGCCTGCCAAGGTTAAGAGAGAACTTGCATAGATGTATGGAGTCTTGGGGTTGGAGAGATTGCTCAGCAGTTAAAAGCACTAGCTGCTCTTCCAGAGGATCTGGATTTGATTTCCACATGGGAGCTAACAACTGTCTGTAACTCCAGTCTTAGGGGATCCAATACTCTATTTTTGTCTCCAGGGGAACTGCACACATGTGGTGCACAGACATACATGCAGGAAAACACCCATATACACAAAATAAAAAAAAATCTTTCAGAACATTAAAAAAAAATAAGTATGGGCTCTGTTCATTCTGTTCTCCCAGCAGCCTTACTGGGAGTTTGTAGGTGATGAGGAGACTATCAAAGAGGTAACTCATCGCAGAGGATGAACTGAATACTCCAGAGAAGCTGGCGAAGACTGAAGTAAGGAGGGAAGTGTTCCCTCCTCTCATCACCAAACTGAGTGCCATAATTTCATGTTTTGTCATTTGCTTGGCAGCACCAGAACACATACCTGTGAACTTAGTATAGTACTAAATAAGACAGTTACATGATTTTAGATCTCTTTAAGCCTCCAGGATACCCTAGTCCGTTGGTTTATGCTCTGGGTAAAACCTCAGGGATGCTTTGAGCAGGGAACATGTCTCAACTAGTGCTTTATAAAAGCCACTATTTTGTGCCGAAAATGGATCAGGGAGCAAGGACAGACGCAAGGAGACTAGTTGGAAGCTATTCACTAACTTAGGGATACAGGGTGAAGATGGGAGCTGAATTCTGATGGGTCAGCTGATGGCTAAAGGAAGCCTACAGTGCCAGAAAGTGGGGACCTAAAGTGAGCAACAACCTTCATGAAAGACCAGAGGGTATGTAAAGCTAGAGTTTTCTGAGACATCCCTGATGGCTAGACACAGAAACAAGGTCTGTACCTTGGACCTAGAACAACATCTGGATATGGTCTTACTTAAGGCATGAAAAGTCCTCTTGCAGACAGGCAGTTCTGTGGTCTGTCAAATTAGATGGATTCCTGGGACCTGCGCTCTAATCCCAGGGCTGTTTACTGGGTGCTCAACAGTACCTCGTTGCTATTTCTAATACCAAGATCATATCTTCCGTTACTCTAGGACTATCTCTCAACTCTTTCCCTCATCAATAACCTCTCTGTGATTGCAAAGGGCAGTCAGGTTTCTGTAGAGCATAGCTGCTTTGTTCCCAGGGAGCCTTCCCCTCTGAGGGACCATCCACGCGACCCTTTTGTCCTCACTGCACACATGCGCTTACTGGATTCCTTTCAAAGCACGACCTCCCCTTCCCTATACCGGCAGGTCCCCCCTGGAACTCCTTCCTTGTCCCATTGCCTGTTTAGCATACCGCTGCCACAACTGCTTTGTTCCCCAAGAACAACCTTCCAGTGGAGACACGTAGCCTTTATTCCTGCATTCAGGAGGCAGAGGCAGGTGAATCTCTGAGTTCAAGGCCAGCCTGGTCTACAAAGTGAGTTCCAGGACAGCCAAGGCTACAAAGATAAACCTTGACTTAAAAAACAAAAAACTTTCTTTTCTGTTCTCTCCCAGTTACAGTGACCACTGATCACTACGCACAGTGCACAAATGAATGAGTTGTAGGTTTCCACTGTCCGAAAGTCGAGCAGAAGGGTCTCTCTCTGTGTCCACAGTGTTCGGCGCACCTGGATAATTCCTAGCCAGGACAGGAATGTAAGAAGAAGGCTTGCACAGGAGAAAACCTGTTGTCCGGGTGCTCTGGTTTAGTTTCCAACCCAGATAGTAGCCAGTCAGAAGCGTCCTGCAGACGAAGTTTCTTCAGGTTGTCGGCTCTGACCACGCCTTCTGACCCACCTCTTCCCCTGCGGCCACGCCCCTGAGCTCCACCCCGCCTGGCTTGTCGCACCAGCTTCCTGAGTCAAGCGCGGCCAGCACGCGCCTGCGCCCTCTGGCCCCGCCTGGACCCCACCCCTGTAGGCCCCGCCTTCCAAAGGCCCCGCCCCCTCCGGCTCGCGAGGTGGGAGCTGAGCCGCAGACTGCGCATGCTCTAAGCGCGGCGCCCCCGACTCCTCACTCGGCTGGGTTCGGGCATTTCCGCCTCTTTGTTTTAAACTCCGCACGGCTTTTTTCTCCTCCTCTTGGGGGGGACCCAGAGGGAGCGGCGCCCCCTCCCCCTCCCGGCGAGCCCCCGCGTGCGCCCGCTCGCCCGCCGCCCGAGACGCAGGTCAGTGAGCCCGCCCCGCCCGGCTTGGCCCGCGCGCCCGCTCCTCAGGCCGCGGCCTCGGCCCCTGGTCCGTAGAAGGCTGCGAGCCCAGCGCCCTCGGCAAACCCGGGAGGCGGGACCCTAAAAGCCTGCCAGAAGGCCAGGACTTGGGAGGTCTGGACCCTGGGAGGGCAGCACCCTGGGCCATTCTGAATCCCTGAACAACCTGGACCCTGGGAGGACAGGAACCGGGACCAGGCAGAACCCTGGGAAGACAAGAGCCAGCACCAGGCTGGACCCTTCCTTGATCAGGCTGGACCAGGGGTGGGCAGAATCGTAGATCAGGGAGAACACACAGCCAGGCTGGATTCTGAACAGACTGGACCCCGAGAGAACAGGACCTAGGGAAGACAAGGATCCCAGACGGGCTGGAACAGGCACCAGGCAGGATTCCAGAGAACAGGACCCCGGAAGAACATGAGTCTGGACCAGGCTGGATCCAGGGATACCAGAACCTCAGACTAGACAGGACCCAGACTAGGCCAGAAATACTGGTACTGGGCAGATCCCTCATAGAGCTGGGACCTCTGAAGAGGTGGAGACCCGATCCTGGATTGCTCACTGGGGGTGGGGGAAGAGGGTCTGTACTAGAGACCTGACAAGAGTCTAGGAAAGGTCATTGAGGAAGACTGGATCTCAGGACCCGACAGGACCTAGAAAATGCCAGAATCACTGAGAGGGTCCAATTCAAGATAGATTACAGAGGAGGGTTAAGACCCTGAGACCACCCCGCGGAGGGCCAGTACTATAGGAAGGTCAGGACCCAGGGACAAATCAGTTGTAGAGAGCTGGGAAACCAAGGCTGGCCCAGAAGAATCTGGACTCCTGTGAAGATCCTTAGAGTAGTTTGGGGCTCCGAGGGTAAACTGTGAGGAGGGTTCAGAATGTAGACAGTCTTCTGAACAATTGGAACCAAAGGTGGGTCGCTTTAGGGCAAAAGCCTTGGGGCTGAACCACGAGGAAGTACCGGGATAATAGATGGAACTTCAAGGCAGGGAGGCCTGGGCCTCCAGGCATACAGACCCTAATATCTGCTGTAAAGATCACTAGGCATTGGGGGCCCAGGAGTTTCCCAGATCTATCCAGCCCACACCGGGACCCTTTCTGTGAAGTGCTTAAGTGTGAGATCCTGGTTATTGGAGCCTGAGGATTCAAACCCTGCACTTCCCACAAGTCCCCGAGCACCCTCAGGGGTGAGGGTCTTAGGATAGTTACAAGGCAAAGTTGGAGTTCTTCCTAGCTCCAAGGACTCAGGGTTATCACGACCTGTACTTGCTGCTCCAAGTCGTCCCAGCCTCCAAGCTGCCTCCCATGCTGTCTTCAGCTACTACAGGATTGTGCCTTTCCCTAGTCTTGGCTCACTCCCCCTTCTCTTTCCCCAGAAGGTCATGAGGGTGTGTACAGAGGCAGAGGTATACCCGTGGCCTGGAGGCACTCCAGTAGATAGGAAGGTGAGGTGAATGGGCAGAGAATTGAGGGGGGCTCTTGCATTGATGAGCACCCAGCATCCACACTCTCTGTTTCACCCCCCAAAAGGAAAGCATTAAGAGGGCCTTGGGAAGAGGTTTTGTTTCTCTGAAATATTCCCAGTCTGCCATGGAGAACACAGTGTTTGTGGAAAAGTGAAATGTGTTTTTTGCGGCTGTGCGAGACATTAAGAGGTCATAGTGTGCTGCTCTTGACTAGCGCAAGTACCGAGATGTGCACTGGGAACCTAGTGTGTTTGGGGATGAAATGGCTAGCGGATTCTGGAGTGGCCTAACTCCCACACAGACCTGGGGTGGTCAACAACGGGTGTGTTCCCCGTGGAAGCTCTTTGGTCAGATTGCATTTAAAAGTGCTGGTTATAGGGTGTCTAGACTCTGGGCTATTTAGATTTCCAAGAAATGCTTGATGGTTGATTCCATCTTTCATTTTGATCTGCTTTGCTTTTTGACTCATCAGGAAAAAAACAAGTTTAGGTGCCTTAGTACTAAGTGCCAACTGAGCATGCTCCTGAATGGCCCAGAGTGGAAAGATGTGTTTGCCAAGCGTCCCTGTAGTTGGGACCCTTGGACTCAGAGCTTGCGTCTGGTTTGTTCTTTGGTTGTGCCCTTTATAGTAATTGGCTGTATGAACTTTTAGAAAAGAATGAGAATTTGTTTGCTCTTCATCTTCCCATGCTTGGACTTTTAAACATATGTTGCTGTACAACGTATTACCCCAGAATGTAGTGCCCTGAGTCAAAATTGGTTCCAGCAGAAGGTCGAGAGCCCAGGCTTAACCATGCTTCTGGTCAAGTTTCATAAGCCTGTAGTCAGGGTACTTGGCCTCCTCTGGGCGTTCCACAGGGAGTATCCCAGTCTAGCTCCCTCCTACACTGCCAGCTGGAGACCCAGGTCTTCTCCAGGGGCATCTCAAAGGACAATGGAGAAGAGGCCAATGACAGAGCAAGGCAGCCTCTGGAAGCTCCAGACTTGGTGACTCACACCTATAATCCCATCACTTGGGAGCCGAAACAGGATTGTAGTGGGTTTGAGTTTAAGGCAAACCTGAGTTACAGTAGTTAATTCCAGGCCAGTTCAGGCTTATAGTAAGATGCTCTCTCAGAAACAGAAAGAGTTGTGTGTAGAGTGGTGTGTTAGAATGAGGCCTCTAAATAACATATGTCTGATATCACTGTAAAAGTTCAGATGATTGTGATACATGTATGTATTCTATTTAAGAGGCATCTGTTACAAACCGAAAACGTTCCCGGTGGTTAACTTACCATTTGGAATGTTCTGGCAAACAGACCCCTGTGAACAGAGTGGGGTGTAGGAGAATAGTATCTACCCTCTGAGTGAGTGATTTCCAGAATCTTGCCATGCTATTCTGAAATAAATTATAAACCAACCTTCTAGTTTTTCTTAACCATCTTAAACACAAGTGTCTTTCCTGGTACATTGGACCTCATGCACTTTGTTATAAGTGGTTTTTTTCAAAATAGCGTGGAAGAAGTGACATTCTGAAAAGGTTGGGTTATTTGTCCCTTTGGGGAATATTATGCTCAGAGATGTCCTGTAGACTGGAGCCCCCTCTCTCCAGCCCAGGTCTTGTGAGTAGACCTGGAGGTGGCTCAGGGTACTTACCCGAAGTCATTCTAGATGCTCTTGCCCCTGATGGTCACCTCCCTGTCATTTCTGGACTTTGGGAGGTTCCAACTCAAGTTCACAAGGTTATTAACTAGAATTATTGGGGGTTTATTTGTGCTTTAAAACAAGGTTTGTTTGGGTCTGTGTTGTTATTCTTTAATGGCCAAATTTATTATTTGCTGCCTTGTTTGTTTGATATTCAGAATCGGATTTAAAGTTAAAGATGTAACTTTTCTTTATTTAGAAATACATTGAGGTTGAAGGTCAGCTTCCTGTTGTCTGTTGTTACCCTCACAATCATACGGTTCATATTACAAGAATGCTGCACATCATGCTTTAAAAGCTAGAACTGTTGCTTAGTTCTGTGAGTTGGTTATCGTTAAATTTAGCTGGACATGGTAATATGTGTCTGTAATCCTTGCTACTACTCGTGAGACTGAAACAAGAGGATCATTTGCGCTCAGAAGTTGGAGACAGGTCTGGGCAACATAGTGTAACCCTGTTTCAAAATTAATCAATCACAAAGATAGATGAAGCCTTTAAAAATAAGAAAGCACTTTTCTCTGCCACATACCTTCTTACAGAATTAAAGGTACAAAAGCCAAAAGGATAAGGGTGTCATAAGTTTAACCCCTTTTTGTTGTGGATGACCTACTGATGGAGCAGACTCCCCAAGAGGAGCAGCCCTTGCTGGAGATGCTGTCTCCCTCGGCCTGTTGTTGGCTGTGTGTTGTATTGAACAGACTCTGCGGTGTTAGTTGGACCTCAAGAATGGAGGTTAACTGGATCTCATTGGTCCTCATGGGGTCCTATGCCTACAGAAGCTTCCTGGGTCCTGTGTGGGATTCCTGACGTTTTTGGTACAGTGTGTCTTACTAGGACCTGTGGCTATTGTAAGGCCTAATGGAGGCCTCTGGGTCACATGAGGAGTTTGTAGTGACTTTCTCTGTCTCCTGGTTCAACAAACTCTAGCCTAAAGCACATTGTAGCCAGTGGCTTTTGTGGCTTTGTGCTGAGGGTATGTGTCAGCTTGGTTGCTAAAGTCCTCAGGATGTGCTCTACAAACTAGCAATGGGGGGGTCAAAGCATGCATACCATAACTGCCCTTACTTCAAGGACTTTTACGTTTTTTTAAAATTTTGTAATTATTGTGTGAGTTTATGTTTCTGAGTGCAGAAACCCTGAGCACATATGCGTGTCAGAAGATAGCTTCTGGATTCTGTTGTCTCCTGCCGTTTTTATGTGGGTTCCAGGAATTGAACTTAGGTCCTCAGACTTGGTGGCAAGTACCTGTACCCCCTGAGGCATCTCACCGCCACCACTCGTTTTTGTTTTTTAATCTAAGTTCTTACCAGAGCAAACAATAACAAAACTCAAACAAACAAACAAACTCGTGGAACAAAAATGCAAGAGCTATGATCAGTGGCTATCTACTGTGGCCCCGATGTTGTTTTCATTCCTCCCGCTTTTTTAGGTTGAAGTTGTAACTCAAAGATGACTGCAGGAGAAATGAACTTTGTGGGAAATTCTGTCCTCAAAGACAGAATACATGCCTTATCAAAAACCCTGAGAGCTCTTCCATCCTTTCTGCGTCAAAGGACTTGGCATGGTGATTGGGTCTGAATAAGCCAGAGTCTGCTGTGACCCAGCTGCCAGTGCTGAGAAATAAACTTAGGATGCTCACAAGCCTTCCATTGTAGTATTTTTATATAATTTTTCTAGATTTATCTATTTATTATGTATGCAATATTCTGCCTGAATGTATGCCTGCAGGCCAGAAAAGGGCACCAGATCTCATTACAGATGGTTGTGAGCCATCATGTGGTTGCTGGGAATTGAACTGAGGACCTCTGGAAGAGCAGCCAGTGCTCTTAACCTTTGAGCCATTTCTCCAGCCCCCACTGAAGGGTGTTTTGTGACAGCAGCCTACAGTCTAGGATGGGACCCTCATGCCCACCTGCAGGACACAGTTTTCTGTTTGATAATATCTTTATCTTTCATTAAACAACACTTTCCTGTCACTGAAGTATTAAAGAGCAACTTCAGATGGTATGCCACCTCTTGCAGGAAATGAGGAGGAGGTCTGCTTAAAGCCAACCTGGCTCCCATCCCACAACCCCCTGCAGGGTAGGGGGCTTAGCAGGTCCCACAAATAGTTACTTCCAGGATTTTACAGTTGGCCTTGTTGTCAGAGGAAGGTCCCTCTCGTCTTTCCTGAACAGATCCCTGGGTTCTGGTGCTAGGTTGATTTCCATCCCGACAACTCAGGGAAGTCTGGTGCTGTGTTGCTATGCACCATCCTGACACTCCAGGAGGTCTAGCATTAGATTGATGTTTTCTGTCCTCCTGACATCCTCAGAGTGGTAGACTTTGGAGTAAGACAGTCCAGGTTGGAATATTTCTGCTTTGTGACACTTATCAGCCACCCATGACCACCTGACTTGTTCCCCTGTTGGCTGGTTTTGGAAGGTGAAATGCCACAACACAGCCAAAGACAAGGCATTTTGGTGAGGTCATAGATCTGGACAGGCTTTTGTCTCAGCATCAGTCTTTGGTGACACATTGGAGATCATGCTTACCCCCAAGGCCACTGGTTGTCCCTGGAGACTGATAGCATAAGCACTTTTGGCCGGGTGGAGAACCAGATCATAGAAAGTCACAATTTCAGCACTAATTGAAGGGCACATAACTGGATGCCTGGGAGGGTACAGTGTCCAAGCTCAGCACAAAACTGCTTATTCTGGGAAAGTTCTAATCTGTAGGAAACACCCACCTACCAATGGCTGGCAGTATCCTATTGATGATAATGTTCCATTTGTTAACCATGGGAGGACCTCTGTAAGACTCCCACAGATGTCAGGACGTGCTGGAAGAGACTGGGGTGGCAAGGGAGGCAGGCAAGTGGTCTTAGATATGGGAGCTATACCAGTGATAACAGCTGACGGCCACAGAAGGGGTTAGCACAGAAGGACAGGTCATAGAGCAGAAAGAGGTCGTCTTTGGAATGAGATCGGGAAGACGCTTGTCAACAGCTGAAAGTTTGTAAGTGGCTTGTTTGGAAAAGATCTGTTTTTGTTTTGTTTTTTTTTTAATTGTTAAAAACTATTCTTTTAGTTTAATGTCCAGGCCTGGACTGTTTGGGGACCAACTTGAAATCTGATTAGATCCGTGGTGCCTAAGACATAGGTCTGATGGTGTCTCTATCTAGATCGTACCCACAGGAGAGTGGGCTTGTGTTACTGATTTTAACGAGGACAATATCATTCTTTTCTCTTCTTTCCTTTCCTCTTTTTTCTTTTCTTTTCATCAGGGTCTTATGTAACCCATAGTGGCCTCAAACTCATATAGCTAAGGATGACTTTGAGCTTCTGATCTTCCTGCCAACATCTCCCAAGTGCTGGGATTACAGACATGTCTCACCATGCCTGACTCTGTATGGTGCTTGGGATTGAATCCAGGGTCTTGTTCATGTTAGGCAGGCAATCACCAACTGAACTACATTCCCAGGACAAGGATGGCATCTTGCCAACTTGATTTAATGGTTGTCCTATCTTCTAGAGCTATGTATGGAACACCTGGGTTGCATGACCAGGAGTTTCTATTACATTACCTAGAACCAGTATTAAGAGAAGTTTTATTTTCTAGTTTTAAAAACATTTTAAAGCTATATTTTTGTTTATTTACTTTGGGTGACCTTTGTGGCCTTGTGAAGACAACTTGTGGAAGTTGGTTCTTTCTTCCCACCATGTGGGTCCCAGGGATTGAACTCGGGTTGTCAGCTTGGGAGCAAGCACTATTATGTGTAGAACATAATATCTTATGGGCCATATTTCCCGGCTTTAGTTATCATTCATATTTTTGCATATCACAGAACTGGGATAAACTGAGATTCTGTCTAGGTGTTGACTAAAGTTAGGGCATGTGAACCCCATCCTTGGGGAGGCTGCTGGGTGGACCCCAAAGTTAGGCAGTGTGCAGAAGGGGAAGAAGTGTCCTGGGCCCAGGCCTGCCATAGCAGGGAATACAACACACAGCTCTTATCCTGCAGTAGATGAAGACAGTAACCAACCTGCTTGCCTGCCTGCATGGTAGTTTCTACCCCACTGCTATTATAGCTTGCTGTGTTGACATGCATGTTGTTTTTTGATCACGCAGGTGATGATGTGCAGTGTAGCAAGAAACCAAAATAGGTGATTCTTAGAAGGCCTGGAGAGGACCCCAGGCTGGCCACCTGGCCACATGGTATGGTAGGGGTACTGATAAATACTGGTAAAAGTTTGGCATTGTGTGTATTGCTTTTACCACAGAGTGCCAGCCTTTTCCTCAGCGCTGCACACACATGGTACTTGGTACCATGGCCTGCTACTCACCAGCTCTCGTTTTGTGAGTCCCAGTTTAGTAATAAAGTTGATCAGCTGAATCCACTTAATTTGAATTTTTTGGTTTTTTGGTGAATCTCTTTTCATCATTTAGAGTAGAAACGGACAGAGTTTCTCTCTAAACACCAAATAGTACTTTGGCATGGCTGGCCCTTTGACAGTAAGTGCAGCAACACCTCTCCATCCTGAGGACCTGAGTTTGCTAAGCCATGGTCCCTATTATAGTTCTAATATGTTATAGATATGTGTGTCTCAGTTCATAATAGAGCCACATATCGTAATCTTGAATTGTAAAGGTAATAAATACCCCTGACCTCCTACTCAGCATCTGAACATGGCACCACATACTGTGTTAGCATTTCCGTGAGGGGTTGCGTGTGAGTGTGATCTGGTTTCACCCCACCACTAGGAGTATGTCTGTCATTGGTTTTAAATCGTAAGATACTCTTTTCTTTAGTTTATTGTGAAGAAGGGACTCAAGGCCTTTCTGAGACCCGTGGGCCACCCTTGCTGGCAGTGATGTGTTCTTTGTGGGCAGCTTTCTTCTACATGGGGCCCTGCGTGGCTGGGAGCACCCTTTCCTGACTGCCGAGGAACAGCTGCTGTGTGGGGCCCTAGCTGGTGGGCATTCCAGTCACCTCCGACTAGACTTCGTGCGTGGAATTGTAGTTTTTCACATCTGAGTTGTTGAATAATCGTGTTAGTGTCTCCTTCAGTGGGGTTAAAAGTATTTCCTTACCATCTTTTAGGATTTATAAAAATAATGAGTGGGTGCTTTATAAAATAATTTTTATGTGTCTGTTGGGAGGATCACATGTTAGTCTGCTGTTACCTTTTGTCACAAGTGATGTTTTTCCTTGTATTGTTGCTTACCTATATTCCTGGGATACATCTAACTTGGTCCTGGACGACTCTACCCTTATAGAATGACAGATGAGGGTGGCCAGTGCTCTGCTTAGGGTAAGGTAGGTCTGTTAGTTTTCTTCCAAATCTTGCCTTGCTAGAGTTTGATGTGTGGCTAGTAGTTTAAGTGAATTAGTGGGGCTGGAGAAATAGCTTAGTAGTTAAGAGCACTCACTGCTCTTCCAGAGATCCTGGGTTCAATTTCCAGTACCTACATGGCAGCTCACAACTGTAACTCCAGTTCTAGGAGATCCTGCACCCTCACACAGAAATGAATGCAGGCAAAACACCAATGCACATAAAATTATTTTTAAAAATTAAAGTGAGTTAAAGATCTGTTCTTTAACTGTGCATGGTACTGGAATCTGAACTCAGAACCTTGTACAAGATAGACAAATGCATGTTCTGGCCCCAGATACTTTTACGCCTGAAAGGATGATTTACTCTCAGTAGACTCACAGACCCAGAGTTTTATTTTATTGTATCTATTTATTTTTATCTTTTGGGTTTTTGAAACCAGGTTTCTCCTCGTAGACCTGATTGCCCTGGAACTCGCTCTATAGACCAGGTTGATCTTGAATTCAGAGATCCACCTGCCTTTGCCTCCCAAATGCTGGGATTAAAGGTGTGTTCCACCTCTGACCAGCGACCCATGAAAAACATTCAGCTCTTAGAATAGAGAATATTTTGAGTTTCCCTCACTACTCTCAATTCAGGTTTTTACTGCCACCACCATCCCTGCTGGGAATTTATCCATTTCACACAAACTTCATTTAAAAAAATTATATGTGCTGTGTAGTGGTGGTGCTCACCTTTAATCCAAGCACTCGGGAGGCAGAGGCAGGTGGATCTCTGTGAGTTCAGGGTCAGCCTGGTCAGCAAGAGCTAGTTCCTGGACAGCCTCTAAAGCTACAGAGAAACCCTGTCTCAAAACAAACAAACAAAAACCATGTAAGCCAGAAGTGGTGGCACACACCTTTAATAATCCCAGCACTGGAGTTAAGTACAATTAGAAAGCTGTGTTTTAGTGGTTTATACTTATAAGGCCAACACTTGAGAGGCTGAAGCAAGAGAATCATTGTAACTTTGAGGTCAGCCTGGGGTCTATAGGGAATTTTAGGCCAGCCAAGGCTACATAGTGGAACCCTAATGCCACACTCTGGTTCTTTTGTTACAGGAGCTGCCAAGTTTCAAGGGACAGCATTTTATATGGTCAGTGACCTCCATACTAGGCAGGGGCTAGTTTAAGACAGGCCTGGCCTTGAGCTGGCTCCACCTCTTCTTCTCCGTGCTTCCTCCCTTGATTTACCTGATAGGACACACTCACTCTCTTATTCCTTTTGTACAAGCTTCCTGGGTTGATTAGTTAATAAACAAATGTAGTTCTGAGGCTGGAGAGAAGGCCTAGTGGCTAAGAATGTATACTTGTTCTCCCTGAGGACCCACGTTCCCTTCTTAGTACACATAACAAGCAGTTCATAACAGCCTGTAACTTCAGCTTCAGGGGATCCAATTCCCTCTTCTGGCCTCTGCAAGACACCCGTACACACATTACATACATTCCCGCAGGCAGAGAGACTGACATAAACACACATAGACACACACACACGCTTGCATGTGCACATAAATAAAAGCTTTAAAAACGTGAAGTTCTGGAAAATTTTTAGAGGTAAGGTTATCTGAGTTGCACTTAAGAGTAAGTTCGTTCCAGGACATGTTAGGGTACACCGTCTCCAGGTTCTATGTAATCAGTCCGTAAACTACCAATACCTGGAGCTCTGGGACTGTTCCAGTGAAGATTTCAGGCCCCTTTCCAAGCCCTTCACCAGCAATGCCTGTTCCTATATGGAAAGTCACAGCCAGGCTCCCAGGAGCCTTCAAAGCACCGCAGTCAAGAAGCAGACTGCCTGCAGATTCTTGGGAGGCCTCAGACTACTCTACCAGGATTTCTCTAGCTGCCCATCTTCACATCCTGATATGAATACCTGGCTCACTGGCTGCAGCTCACTGAACCTACCCATGGTACGATGCCCACCTGGGCCCAGGGCACATTCAGTGAGTGGGTGACAGTGACTTAGTCTGGGTGTGAGCATGTGAGAATCGCAGGCTTCAAGTAAAGTGAACAACAAAGTGCTGCTCATTGCCCTCCTGCGGTTTCTCAGGTCACCCCCGAAGTCCACTGTCACATGGAGCTTCCACAGATACCCTGCCTCTTGGGCCCCAAAGCAAGTAGTGTACATCTGCTCTGGACTGGGCGCGGCTCGGGACTCTGGAGGTGACCCCCACAACAGAGCCACCTTTTTTATCATCATTCTCACTTAAAGCAAGTAAATGAGCAGACATGTTTAAGGAAATGGTACTTGAGAATTGCTAGAAGGTAGAGGGCGAGAGAAGATCCTCTCATGGTGACATCGTCTCTGCTTCTCCACAGACTTCACGATGTAGCCCCGATTCCAGGCTATCATTCACAGGTAAGCACAGCTGAAGCTGATTTTCCTTTCTGACTGTCTGTGGCTCAATATGGTGACTACCTCATATTTCCTTGAAGTTTGGTCTCTAGCAATGTCTCTGGAGTTATTTGTGGTTCTTGATTGTCTCCCAGTATTTCCAGTATGCCCTGTCCCATGGTTTAATATGTAGGGCGTAGCTGAGATGTAGTAGAGTTTAGTGTGGGATTGTGTGCAGGACTGGCATCAGTGTGCTTGGAATTAACAGTGCTGTTTTTGTGCTAGAAAATGGAAAAGGAACAAGGGACAGAAGGAAGGTGCAGAAGCCCGCCAGAACTCAGAGTAAGGAGGGATCACCACATCCACTTGGTGGCCTGAAGCCTCCATGCCACCGGGTGAGGAAGGACTCACAGACATCCAGAGGAGGTGAGGAGTGAGGAGTTTGGCTCTTCTTATACTCTGTGCATGCTGGCTCTCTGGAGTACCATTAGTTCAGGGTGGGGTAGGTATGTAATATTGATCAGTCAGCTGCCTAGGAGAGGAGCACAGCTAGAAATGATCCAGATGGACTGGGCTGAATGGCCATGCTCAGTGCTGAGTCTAAAGGCATTGAGATGGTCGTACTATGCTAAGGGGCAGTTGGTGAGTCTGGAGCTCAGCAGGGTCTAAGTGATGACTTGGTATGGGAGTATTCCCTCTCATAAAAAGTACAAGGGTGAGGATAGCTAAATTCCTGAGGTGGGTTTGTACCTAGATACCAGCTGTGATGTTGAAAAGCCATATGACAGATCTAGATCAAAGTGGCTGGTGATTAAGTTGGATCCATAGGACCTAATCTAGCTTTTTTCTATTTTGTTTTGTTTTTCAGGACAAGGTTTCTCTGTAGCTATGGAGCCTGTCCTGGAATTAGCTTTGTAGACCAGGCTAACCTTGAACTCACAGAGACCCGCCTGCCTCTGCCTCCCTAGTACTGGGATTAAAGGCGTGCTGGCACCACCATCTTCTGGTAGACTCTGTCTTTCTGCTAGATAGTATAGTGGCTAGTGGCAGTTCTTTGAGTTGAGTTTCAGACTCCACTTACCACTGAGGCCTAAAGTGGGTCATTATTCAATGGATCAGATGAGAAGAAATGTCCAAGAGAAAGGATGGGATGGGCTCCTACACTTGCTGTGTCTGTGAGTAGAGGAAAGGCAAGCTGGAATGGAAAGAGATACCTGGTGTATTAGTCAGACAGACTGTGATCTAGCTACTCTTAACAATGGCTATTTTCCAGTAGAAAGTCCAAGAATTCAGTAGTTTTTCAGTCCATGATGTTGGGTATCTTAACTGGTCTTCAATATGCACTAGAATCCCAAAGAAGTGGGCTCCAATGCCAGTGAAGGGATGGACTTGCTAACAAGACCAGGCAAACAGAGAGAACAAGCTTCCTCTTCCATGTCCTTTTTTGGCCTAGATTAAAAATGGATCTTCCCACCTCAAAAGAAAAATGGGTCTTCCTACTCTAATTAAGAAAAAAGTTCCTCATAGGTATATTCAGCTACTTGAGTTTTAGTAAATTCCAGATGTAGTCAGGTTGAAACCTAGATTCGTCATCACAGTTACTTCAGTGTCTTTCTCTTACAGAAGCCAAAGATGTTGACCAGGAAGATTAAACTCTGGGACATAAACGCCCACATCACTTGCCGCCTGTGCAGCGGCTACCTCATTGATGCAACTACAGTGACTGAGTGTTTGCACACATGTGAGTACAGCCAGTTCTTCTGATCTCCAGCACATTCCTTAGAACCTTAGCCTGGCACAGGGCACCAGGGCCAGGAAGAACAGAGATCTCGAGGGGTGGTTGGAAAACTTACCTTGAACTAGTAATGCTGTGGGTAACTCCCTGAGGGAAGCTTCTGTCGGGAAAGCTGAACAAAGGAAAGCCGCCAGGTTGGCCACTGGTGACGTGACAGTCTCTTCTAGCAGGGAGGTGTCTGTGTTGTAATAGTCGAGCACCTGTGGAATTTCAAGGGTTAGGATGGTGCCTGTTGCCTGTTACTCATTCTGCTTGTCAGGCCTGGTTGTGTGCAGGATAGGGTTTTTTTTTATTATTGTTATTTTAATTATTTTTTAATTTTTATGTCTATGAGTGTTTAGCCTGTGTGTTTGTATGTGAGCTGCATGCTTGCAGTACTAGCAGAGAGAGAAGGCATTGGATCCTATGGAACTTGAGTTGTAGACAGTTCACCATGTGGATGCTAGAAACTGAACCTAGGTCTTCTGCAAGAGCACCAAGTGCTCCTAACCACTGAGCCATTTCTCCAGCCTCCCTTAAGTTTTGTTTTGTTTTAATTTTTTTGTCTCTCTGGAAGGTGGATATCCTATGTGGATCACCTAGAGACATGACTGCTGCACGGAATAGTGACCAACACGTATGACCTCCGTCTTGTTCATTTTCTGTTTTGAAAATGTTTTCTACTTTTAAAGAATTTTAGGCTAAGATTAATTGTATTGTTAGAAATTGGTGGTACAATTTGTGTTAGGCAGTTTCACTGAATTTTACATAGTTTTGCTATAAAAGACACTTTTGTCATATTTTAGACCAAACTGCAGATTTTTAAATATTAGTTATATTTTCATGATCTTGCCACATAGTGGCTTAGGCAACCATTCCTTGGTGTTTCTAGTTGGTTCCTAGGCCAGGGCGTATAACAGGTGGTACCCACGCAGTGCAGCCCAAAGGCAGATTCTCTTCAGAAGTCAGGAGCTATGTAGAGGAGGTTATGTATGCAAGTACCTTCTTAGCCCCCTTGGAGTTGGCTGGGCGTGGCAGCAGCTAGCGCCTGTCTTCTGGGTCGCTGTCATCCTCTCCCTTTGGATAGTTTGCAGGAGCTGCCTGGTGAAATATCTGGAGGAGAATAATACCTGCCCCACTTGCAGGATCGTGATCCATCAGAGCCACCCGCTACAGTATATCGGGTGAGTAACAACGTGGGCTGGTGCTCCCTGGCCATGATGTCCATACATCTGTATGATGGTGGCCACCTTGTTCTTGGCCCCCAGATACTACATTGCAGGTGACAGAACCATACCAGTATCTAGTAGCACCTGTCCTGGAGGGACCATGCAAACAATTGGAATCTTTTAAGTTTTCTTACACTAACAGTTTGAAGTAGAAGAGACCCCAGACCTGTCTTTCATTAGAGTAGTAACTTGCCCCTGGGCTAGAACTTGTGCCAAGAAGCAAGAGTCTATAAGTAAAATTTCTAATTTCAGAGGTCACTCTGGAGGAAATTAAGTCACAGATACATTTGGCAGGAGGGAATCAGGAGATGAACTGAAAGGAAGAGGTGAACAGCATGTCACAGTCATAGCTCACAGTCACATTACAGCTGGAGCAGTAGCAGTTGAGTTGTCTGACCTTGGAAGCCTCCAGATGTCCAGGCAGCACTACTGATGCCCCTGTTTCTATCCCACCCTGTAGTAAAAGTGAGCAGGCCTGCTTTTCGTCCCGCCCGGCTGGCTTAACACCCGAAATAACAACACACAAATTTTATTCATTTAAACACTGCCTGGCCCATTAGTTCTTACCTATTACCGGCTAATTCTCACATCTTGATTAACCCATTTCTAATAATCTGTGTAGCACCACGAGGTGGAGGCTTATCGGGAAAGATTCAGCATGTCTGACCTGGCGGCTGACTCCATGGCATCTGACCTCACTTCCCTTCTTCCCAGCATTCTGTTCTGTCTATTCCACCCACCTATGTTCTGACCTATCAGGCCAAGCAGTTTCTTTATTAATTAACCAATAAAAGCAACAGATAGACAGATGACCCTCCTATATCACCACCCTGAGATGAGAGTTGTTTTCTGTGTACCTAACTTCATTGCCATGTCATCTCTTCTTAGAATCTCTGGAGAAGGCCTCCTGGTCTGTGTGTCCTGTGTGGTGGACGTATGGAAATGTCTAGCAGTTCTTGGTGTTAATTATTGTCCTGAGTCCTTTCCAGTGTCTCATGTGGAGTGGGTGGGGGACATCTGATTTAAGGAACTTCTGTCCAAATTCCCATTGACTCTTGAACCAAGTTCCTGTCCTGTACAGGACCAAACCCTGTATAGTGATAGGTTTTTGGTTTTGTCACTGCGGTGGTTCTAGGCACATCTCACTCACTGCCATAGTTATCCCTCAGCTGGTGCCTTCCCATACGTCTACTCGCTGTTGGACTTCCTTGGGATGCCACCTGTCGCAGGCTCTGTTCTGCTTTTGTTGTCCTCATGTGATGGTACAGGCCGCGTCACCTGCTCCTTCTCGCGCGCGCTCTCGCTCTCTCTCTCTCTCTCTCTCTCTGGGGTGCAGTTCTGTAGCGCTCAGAGACAGGTTCCCCACTTGAACTACTGCTGACAGGAATGGAGGCTGGGGGGGACATTGCTGCCCTCTTGAGGGTTGCTGGAGTTTGCTGTGGGAGGCAGAACACTAAAGAGCTATCATGGGCAGGTCTCTCATGGAAGCTTAGATTGTCATGCAAACAAAAAAGAGATACGGGGCAGGAGCCCCAGCAGTGGACCAAGGTGTTGGTTGGATAAGTAAAGGAGCAGGGAGGTATCTAGGCTTGAGTGTTGTGACTCACAGTATGAGCTAGGTAGCAGCTATTGCCTGCCATAAACCCTTGACCTCTAAGAGGTTCTCTCTCTCTCTCTGGCTTAATTGACGCAGGGTTTTATGTAGCCTTGAACTTCTGACCCTCCTGCTTCTACCTCCCAAGAACTGAGTTTATAAGTATATTCTACTACACTCCATTATACAGTGCTAGGGATCAAACCCAGAGCTTTGTAAATGCAAGGAAAGCGTTGTACCAATTGAGCTGTATCCCCAGCTCTCAGTGCCTCTCTCCCTGGCAATGTCTGGGTTCCGTCTGAAACTGTCTAGGAGGGTACTTGTGCTGCTGCCGTCCTCTGCCCGTGATTCGGTTTCATCTGTCCCCACTTCCTGTCTGATTCTCTACTTACAGGGGAATGAGAGGAAGCCTGTGGGCCCTGTGGTGTTAGGTCGAAGGGGTTTTCTTGGCTTCAGCATTTACGTTTCAAGATTTAGGGGGGAAAGATGTGTAACCAGGAACAGCAGGGTAGAGACCTTTGCAGAGAGAGTTGAAAATGCCGCTGTGAACCTGGAGTGTGAGCATGCTCACTTTAAAGAAACAGCTCCATTTTGAGAACCTTCCATCCAAAAAGTAGTCTATGCTATGTTTCCAACTTGCCCCACTCAGCATGGTTGTGATCTGTGAGCTCTAGCAGAAGCTCCATGGTGTAGTAAAGATGTTAAGGGCATCAAATGATGGAGGGCCCTATCTTAGTTTGTGTCTCTGTTGCTGTGATAAAACACTAACCAAAGCCAACCCAGGAATTATTTAGCTTATTCTTGTAGGTAACAATTCATCCCTGTTCCTGTGAGAATCAGGGCTTGCTGGCTTATTCTCCATGGCCTGCTCAACCTGCCTTCCCGTACAGTCTTGGACCACCTGCTCAGGAGTGACATTCACACAGTAGGCTGGGCTCTCCTATATTAATCACTAATTAAGACCCTGCCCTGCCCACAGGCCCCGTTTGGTGGGAGGAACTCCTCAATTGAGGTTCTCTCTTCCCAGGTGACTCCAGTTTGTGCTAAGTTGGCAAAACCCAATCTACAAAGTCTAAATTTGCACCTGAGTGCGTGCATCCTGGTCTAGGTAGTGTAAAGGAGGTTTGGAGCTCTGTGTAACCTTTCATTATACAGTTGGGCCTCATAGCCAAGAGCCTCCAAAGCACAAGAAGTTGGTTCGTGCAGTGAGTGCTGGTCCACAGCATTGAGGTGGCTACATTTGCACTAGAACTTGCCCGTGGGTAGCCACTGAGCGGAGCCCAGATTGGCTAGATTCCTGTGCATTTGTTGGAGTGTAATCATTGGCCAGTTACTGGATTCATATAGGCTTATACAATAAGGATTGGAGGTTAAAATGGCTTTGAAAATTAAGAAATTCTCTATCACTTTATTCAAGAAAAAAATTACTTGACATCATTATATTTTATGCTTAAAAAAAAAGCAAACTACTATAGATAAAGTAGCTCTGCACCTTCATGTTTGCCCGTGTCCAGAAAGTTGAGCTTAGCCCTTTGTCCAGCAGGGTGGAGGCACTGTCCCCAGGGTGACCTCATTCCAGGTAGCTGAAACCATCATTTACTTTAGTAAATGATGCCTCAGTTCAAGTCCTAGGTAACTTTTAGAAAGTTGTTAAATAGAAGATGTAATGTAAATTACCCACTGCCTGTTCTCTTTTGCAGTCATGACAGAACCATGCAGGACATTGTTTACAAGCTGGTACCAGGCCTCCAGGAAGGTGAGTTTATCTTGTGCCCAGGACCCTTTCTCAGCGTCATCCCCATTTGCCACATGTCTGTTCTTAGTTCTAGATTCTCCACTGTCTTCCTGTAATCAGTAGGCTGTGTTAGTTTTGGGAAACAGCAACACCTCGAGATAAAATGCTGAGATCTTTATAAGCATTTGCAATAGAATTTTATAAGTATGTAGCCAAATACGTGAAGATCTCTGTATGCTGTGATCACTGATTTTTGTTTGTTAATTGTGTATCCTGCTACTTTGTTGAAAGTGTAGGAGTTTTCAGAAAGCATTTTTAAGGTCAGTTATGTATTCAGTGGTATCATCTGCAGATAAAAATACTTTGACTTCTTCCTGTTTGTAACCCCTTAATCTCTTTCATTTGTTTTACTTTTCTAGCTAAGACTTCTGGTACTGTATTGAATAGATATGGAGAGAGTGGATAACCTTGTTTTGTTCTGATTTTAGTTGGAAATGTTTTGAGTTTCACTCTGTTTAGGTTGGTGTTGGCTGTGAACTTGTTGTAAATCGCCTCTGTTGGGTTGAGGTATGTCCCTTGTATCTCTGATCTCCACAGGACTTTTACATGAAAGGGTGTTGGATTTTGTCTAAAGCCTTTTCTGCATCTAATGAGATAATCGTGTGGTTTTGCACTGAACCATCCCTGCATCTTTGGGATGAGGCCTACTTGATCATGGTACATGATCCTTTTGATAAGTTCTCGAATTTGGGTTACAAGTAGTTTATTTATAAATTTTACATGTTCTTTGAGGAAGTAGATTTGTTCCTTCTGTTACTATTTTATGGAGTAATTTGAGGAGTAGTGCATTAATTCTTCCTCGAAAGTCTGGTAGAATTCTGTGCTAAAACCATTTGGCCCTGGGTTGTTGTTGTTGGTGGGGTTTTTTTCTTTTTTTGGGGGGGAAACTTAATGATTGCTTCTATTTCACTAGGGGTTATAGGTCTGTTTAATTTGCTTATCTGATCTTGAGTTAACTTTAGTAGATGGTATTAATTGAGAAAATTATCCATTTCTTTTAAATTTTCCAATTTGGTTGAGTACAGATTTTTAAAGTATATCCTTATAATTCTCTGCATTTTCTTGGTGTCTTTTGTTCCACTTTTCATATCTAATTGTATTCATTTGGATCTTCTCTCTCGGCCTTTTACTTAATTTGGGTTTGTAAATCTTTTGATTTTTTTTTTTTCAAGGAGCCAACTTTGTTTCATTACTTTTTTTTTCTATTTTATTGACTTGAGCCCAGAGTTTGATTATTTCTTTTCATCTGTTCCTTTTATGTATTATTCCTTGTTTTTGTTCTAGCGTTATGCCTGCATCATGTACCCCCAGAGACCACCAGAAGTCCAGGTTCATATGCAAAAACAGAGAACCTTTATTGCAAGCCCGAGCTTGGGCTCACCATTCCTTCTGACACAGTGATTGGACCAGGGAGAGCATTGCGCTCAGCTATGGCAGGGTTTTTAAGGAGTAAAGGATGGGGGAGGGGAGGGAAATTCTAGATTCAGATTGGGCAGGAGTGAGGTAACAAGTTTTGTCAAGCAGGGATTGGTATTGGCTTTGCTGCAAGGAAATTGGCGGTTTGTATACAGATTATGTAAGCTATTCTTAATGTTCTGGAGCAGCTGGTACTTGTCTCACTTCTGATTGGTCCCCCCCCCCCCAGGGTACAGTCTGTGGTTTTTCCTGGTTATTGTAAGGGTGAGGCCTAATCCCAGGATTGTTGGTCCACAGCCTATCATGGCTGCACTAATGTTAAATTAAGCCTCTTAACTAGAGCTTTCAAATGTGTCATTAAATTAGTAATATGAGGGCTCTCCAATTGGGGGGGGGGGTCGTTTGAGTTTTTGTTTGTTTGTTTGATACAGGGTTTCTTTATGTAGCCCTGGTTATCCTGGAATTAGCTCAGTAGACCAAGCTGGCCTTGAACTCACAGAGATCCCTTACCTCTGCCTCCCAAGTGCACCACCCCTGCCTATCTCAGTTTTTTAATATATCACTAGTGTTATGAACTTACCTCTTAGAATAGCCTTCATTGTGTCCCATAAATTTGGTATGTTGTATTTTCATTCAATTCTAAAATGTTTTTATTTCTGCTGGGTAGTGGTGGTGCACGCCTTTAATCCCAGCACTCAGGAGGCAGAGACTGGCGGATCTCTGTGAGTTAGAGGTCATCCTGGGTTACAAAGTGAGTTCCAAGACAGACTCCAAAATCACATAGAGTAGTTTTGGTCTCCAAAAACCAAAAAAAAAAAAAAGTTTTTAATTTCTATCTTGTCTCATTTTTCCTTCAGTAATGAGTTGTTCAGTTTCCATGAGTTTACACACTTTCTGTTGTTGATGCCCAGCTGTAGTCTGGTGGGCTGATGAGATGCAGAGTGTTTTCTTGTATCTGTTGAGACTTGCTTGTGTCCAAGTGTATTTTCAATTTTAGAGCTACTGAGAAGCCATGTTCCTTTATGTTTGGGTGAAATGTTCTATAAATATCTGTTAGATCTTATGAGACTAGTTAGCGCCAGCACTTCTCTGTTTAATTTTTGTGTGGATCACCTGTCTGTTGGTGAGTGGGGTACTGAAGTCACTCACTCTCACTGTGTGAGGGCCAATATGTGATCTTAACTGGGACTAGCAGACACACCTCATTCAAGACAACTCAGTGGCAGAGTGTTTTTATTGGGAATAGTTGTAGAGTCTCAGATGCCATTCTGCTTCTAAATTCCAAGAGAATTCTGTGCTTTGCTTTGCTTTGCTTTGCGTATGTGGACATCACATGATTTACAGTCGATCTTCTCCATAACTCCACCATGGTGCATCTCCTTGCATCTCCCTGCCACATGCACCGTTTGCAGTGGCTGCATAAGATTCCTTGGGGTAAGTGACCTTACTCTGGTTCCATGAGGCACCTGTTGGATTTACTTTGCCAGTTGATTCTTAACAGTGCTGAAATAGTCACAGCCTCTGTAGGGATGCTGTTGAGCAGAGGAGATAGCATGAACCTTAGAACAAATATAACTGGCTCAGCTCCAGTGTTGCTAATGCGGCTCTTAAGTTGTGTGTGATTCTCCAGTGTTACAAATAAAACTTCCTTACAGGTTGACTTGCTCACCTTTTAGATAGATTACTAACAGAATTTTTTGTGTTGTTGACTAAATTTTAATGAATTATATATAGCCAGAAATTTCCAATTTCTGTATCTGTTTGTTTGTTTTGGTTTGTTTGTTTGTATGTAGGGTCTAACTAGCTCTAGCTGGCCTTGAACTCACTGGGATTAATGGGTTGTGTTTCTGTACCTGTACATACCTGACACTGGCCATATTATACTTTTTATTTGTTTGTTTCTGTGACAAACACCCTAGAGTTTTGTCCTGTTGTTTTAGGGTTTTAAGTCTATGGTCATCTGGTTCTGTTAGTTGTGGGCCATGGTAAAAGGGAATGGCAGAACAAAGTTGCTTACCTTATGGTGGCTAGGAAACAGGAGCAAACAGAAAATAAGGACTAGGAGCAAGCTCCTCTTAAGAAGCCTGCCCAGGGGCCTACTTCCTACACCTCTCAGGAATGCAGTCGGATCACCCACTGGAGGAGTTAGTGCTCTCCTTATCCAGTCACCCCCCCAAGAGCCCCAGAGTTGGCAACTTTAAAAAAAGACGTTTCAGTGTCAGACCACACGGGGGGTATTATTATTTTTATCCTTTTTTATTATGATAGGTGAAAAAAATAAGGAAATAGGCAGTAAACGGGGTGATAGATGCTGAGTTATTTCTGTCTTTGGTGACTTCCTTATCATTGATCTCTGGGCCTTTGGTATTAAGGTCACAACTCTTTGTGAGGCTACTTTGGGTGACTTCCCTTTGTCAAAACTGTTCCATGCTCTGGTTTCAGGGCTGCCTTTCATACAGTTGTAATGGGAACCCCTCTTCATTTGTTTATTTTATGTATATACGTGTACATGTGGCGATGCATGTGTTCCCTGATCTATGTGCTATGATTGGATACAGAAGTTAGGGGACAACTTGTAGCAGTTAGTTCTCTCTTCCACCATGTGGGTCACAGTTCAGACTCAGATTGTCAGCCTTGGTGACAGGCGTCTTTAACCACTGAACCATCTCTGATCCTTCCCTCCACTCTAAAACGGTTCCTTTTCTGGCCAGGTACACAGTTTATACATCTTCGGTACAGTCAGGTTTGGCAAAGCATCTGTTCAGGCTGGACATGTCCAGAACATATTCTGGGCTCCCTAGGGGTTACATGTCTACAGGGAAAGACAAATGTGCAGATGAAAAGTTTAATAAGGCCAGGCATGATACTGTAGTGATATTTGTATTTTTAATAAATAAAGCTTGCCTGAAGTTCAGAGAGTAAAACAGCTGCATTGATCAGCCTACAAACAACATGCTTTTAACCTCAGCATTCAGGAGGCAAAAATAGGCTAATCTCTGTGACTTAGAGGCTAGCCTAGTTTACACAATGAGTTCCAGGTCAGCCAGTGCTACCTAATGAGACCCTGTCTTAAAAAATAAACAAGTAAAAATTTTTAGCCGGGCAGTGGTGGCGCACGCCTTTAATCCCAGCACTTGGGAGGCAGAGGCAGGCGGATCTCTGTGAGTTCGAGACCAGCCTGGTCTATAAGCGCTAGTTCTAGGACAGGCTCAAAAACCCTGTCTCGGAAAAAAAAAAATTTAAGTTTATTTAAGAAAGCATTTCTTGCAGGGCAGTGGTGGTGCATGCCTTTAGTCCCAGCACTCTGGAGGCAGAGGCAGGTGGATCTCTGTTCTGGTCTACAAGAGCTAGTTCTAAGACAGGCCTCAAAGCTACAGAGAAATCCTGTCGCAGAAAACAAAAAAAAAAAAAAGGAAAAAAGAAAAGAAAGCATTTCTTGGTTGACTACATATAAAGTCTTTTACTGAGTTACTTGTAGATTTTTGGTTTGAACAAATCATTTTAAGTTTCCTTTGTGTTCTGAGCAGTGGCCAGGATCTGATGCATGTCATTTGAGTTTGAATTTTAGTATCATGGATGGAACTTTTACTGAAAGTCAGAAGCAGATTTTGTCTCTTGTAATTGATCATTTCCTCTAGCTAATGGAGCTTGTATGCTGACCATTTAAGGACAGACCATGCTGCTTTCTTGAATAGTAATCCCGAAAAACACAGTAATCTGAAATGCTGGACAGCTTCATGACTAGATGCTTGTCTTTAAGAATAAATTTTCTCTGTAAGCTGGAGGTTTCTGCTTCCTTTTTTTTCTTACATTTCTTTCATGGCCACTGCCGCCTACAGCCAGTTGGGGGCAGTCTTCACCCAGTACAAGACAGACATGGCCACTGTTGTAATCTTTGATGTGACCAAGGGACCTTGGCACACAAACACAGTCTTCCAGGACAGGGTTGTTCTGGGTCTGTTCTTGTCTTCAGGTGCATCTACTACCCTCAGCCCGGTGAGAACTCTTCTGCACTTGATGGCAGCCAGATGGTTGTAGATTGTAACCATCGTGGCTGTAGGGACAGTGGGAGCACTCAGCAGCTTGTGCCAAAATGGCGTATAGTATATAAGAATGCACTAACAGCCACATTGTTAGTGGTGATGTATGAAGGGTCATCTGAGCCACTTCCTCGGGACCTGTCACAGTCTGGGGAGTCCCTCAAACTACTTCCATAGGATCTGTCATGCTCCATGTGACGAATAACCCCACACCATCCTAGAGGGCTGAGGAGGTTGTGTCGTAGTCCCGGAGCAGGATCCTACATCTCCAGAGCCTGTCTTGCTGCCCCAGTTCTTCCTACCTGTGTCCCGTCTCAGTGTTCTCAGATACCTGCAGCATGGGCATTACGGTTCCCACTCCGACCTGTGCTTACTTTCTTACTAGTATCCTTCAGACTCATCATCTAATCTGCAAGTTTCTTTGTGTGACATCAGTGAGCAGTTTTACTATTTAAGTCCTTTCCTATTGAACATTAAAATTGTTTCCATTCTTAATAGCGGAAATGAGGAAACAGAGGGAATTCTATCACAAACTGGGCATGGAGGTACCAGGTGACATCAAGGGGGAGGCGTGCTCAGCAAAACAGCACTTAGATCCCCGCAATGGTGAGTAGCTGCTGCATTAGGCCACAATGCAATTCAGAGGCTTTCTCTCACAGAGCACTTTTTCTCAAGGCTTAGGTGGTCTGCCCATTTTCTGATTGTTGTTGAAAAGGATCTTCATCAACCCTGGTAGCTGGACATGTGGGTTAGACTACAAGAAATATAGAAAATACCTAGAGGTCATGTGGAAAAAACGGTAGAAAGTAGATATCCTTAAGATTCTAACTTTGCTTAATTTATGATAAAGAGGTCAAATGCCAGTTGGATTTGAGCATAAAATTAATTGGTGCTTTTAAAGTCTGTATTTAATAAATTATTCAAATCTTGGGTGCTGGCACTTTGCCGGCAGGACCACTCAAGACCACCCTGTATGTGCTGAATATCCAGATCCCTGTGGGAGCCAGACTACGCGTGGGCGGGGGTAGGTTAGGGTGGATGGAAGTGGGAATCTGGTCCCAAGCGTGTGTCCAACAGCAAGGCTCCACGAGCTAGACTACTTAGAGGACTAAGGTTGCTGTGGTGAGTACTGAGTGGTCCTGGAGGCTTGTCTCTGCTTTGCTCACCAATTCTGGTCACTTCTCCATCTTCTGAGTCCCTTAAGACATTAGTCCAAATCCACTGAGCCCCTCAAGACACATAATCCAAGACCTGCCTCACTCAGCTGCAGTCATAGGGTTTCCTACCACAGAGTTGCTTCGTTCCTTAGCTGAAATGCAGAATGGTTTTAACTGCTATCACTGGGCTCTTTGTATGTGTGAGTGTCAGCATCATTTTTAATATACTGTGAACTTTTACAAGTATTATAACATTGGATTTCTTAATATGGGTTTTGCTCATCCAAAATGTTTGGAGCCAAAAGTGTTTCAGAATTTGTTTTTTTTTTTTTTTCATTTTGGAAAAGTTGCATATAATATTTTAATTCTGCCTTTTTCTACATACAGCCTGTCATATGGGGTTAAGTCTAGAAGTTTACACTTACACCTCGAAAAGTTTTACATACTAGAACTTTTGAATTTTGGATTAGAGATATTTCAACCTGTACAACATTTTCTATTTGTGCTAAAAGGTGAAACCAAAGCAGACGACAGTTCCAATAAAGAGACAGCAGAAGAGAAGCAGGAGGAGGACAACGATTACCACAGGAGTGACGAGCAGGTGACAATGCCTCCTCTGTGAACCCTGGCATGTGTGCATACTTCAGTGTCTCATGAAACTGTAACAGGATAAAATATCATAGCTTTTCTTTATATTCCTATTTATTTGTTTCAACAATCAAAGCAGTACATGGTGACTGTAGAGCATTTCAGACATACAGAATTCACAATCAGATTGTTTTCTCCATCCATGGAAACACTCACTATTAGTGGTGTGGTCCCTTCTCTGCTGTGCCCCCAAGGGAAGTGACCCTTCAGCACGATGAAGGGAAGTGGGCGTGCAATGTTGAGAACTCCCCATGTCTTATTTGCCACATTATCAGCTGAGAAAACCAGACCAAACAAACAAAAACCGTATCAAGACAGAAGTGCCACAGAAGGATCTGATAAAACTCCATATCCCTGTCTACAGAACTTCCTAGTTTGTGAGTTCTAACAGTTTTGATGCTTTTGATAAAATAGGATCATTGTCTTACTAAAACGGGAGTAAGGAAATACCATGGCTGTCACTGTGTTTAGAGGCCCTCTCCCAGGGGCAGGGAAACACGGATGAGACAGTTAAGAGGAGTAGATGCTGTATTCCTAGGAAATGCTGTCTTACATAAAACCTGAGACAATCCACTGAAAACAGAACTTAGCTGATTGGATCAGCAGTGCATGTTGGGAATAGGCAACAAACCAGTGCACACCACCATCAAGGATTTTTATGTGATTTCCTGGGAAAGAGAGGTCCTTCCCCAGTCTGACTTTAGACATGATGCCAAAGTCGACAGGAAAGAGCCACTATATGACTCAGTGGGAGATGAATGCGCATCAGTAGTCATGAGATTGCTGCACATAGTGGGGTGATCTTGGCCCTATTAGAAGACACAGTAACATAGTAAATGAAACATTGGCTGGAATGGTGGAATCTTTTTTAACATGTCCATTTCTATAGTTAATGATAGTCGGCACCACAGAAATAGGGTGGGTTTGCAGATAAATGTGGGATAAGTGTTCTTTCCTGTGGTGAGAGGACCACTCTGACAACCCTTGTGTGCACAAGCAATGCAGTCATCTTGGAGGGGCCCCGGTCTCATCTGCTGTGCTGATTCTGAGCACCAGTAGTAGCAGGTGACAGCAGGTTTCATAAGCCCTGCTCTGTAGGCCGTGTGCCTGCCAGCATTTCTGGAGCAATAGTGTTCCTTGCCTGGACTCAGTCCTATGCTTTTGGAAGCCACTAGGTATCTAACCCTAGCCCAGGCCTGGTCATTGCTTGTGTCCTTTTCTTTTTTATACCAAATATACTACTTGTTTAAGTGTTTCTTAAAGCATATATAGGGAGTGAATTTTGTTCTTGTTTTCGTAGTGGTCTAGCTTTTGGAGCTAAACTCTGTGTACTTGGTCTCACACAGGCTGCACACTTCCTGGGTGCCGTGGGTACAATCCCTGACACTTACAAGTTGTGCCTTACAACCCTATCTTTTGCAGAGGCATGAAGGCTGTCATCTTGCCTTTCTGGATAAGTGTTCTCCTGTGTCCACCTGAACCCCCTCTGCTATAGTACTTTCTGCTTCTTTTCATTGATATTTAGAGGATGCTATTTGTGCTGATCTCTGCATGGAGTTTGTGCTCCTCCAGTGTCCAGGTTCTAGTTTACCTTTTTGTTGCTATGATAAACAATATGACTGAAAGCAACTTGGGGAGGAAGGGATTTGTTTCATTTTTCACTTTATGGTCCATCATCAAGAGAAGCCAAGATAGGACATCGAGGTAGGAACCTGGAGGCAGGAACTAAATCAGAGACCACAGAGAAACACTCTTACTGACTTCCTTTCTATGACCTGCTTATTTAGTTTTCTTTTATAGCTCAGGACCACCTCCTTAGTGTAGCAGTGTCCACAGTGGGCTGAGCCCTCCTCCATCAGTCATCAGTCAGCAAAATGCCCCACAGACATTCTCACAGCCCATTTTGATGTAGGCAGTTCCTGCGTTGAGGTCCCCTCTCTCTAGATGTGTCAAAAAAACAACCAAGCCGGGTGATGGTGGTGCACACCTTTAATCCCAGGAGGCAGAGACAGGCAGATCTCTGTGAGTTTGAGGCCAGCCTGGTCTACAGAGCTAGTTTCAGGACAGCTCCAAAGCTACAGAGAAACCCTGTCTCAAAAACCAAACAAACCAACCAGCGTTAGCTATAACAAATCTACTCTTTGTCTTTGTCAACTTGACATATAGACATATCACTACTAAACCATAACCTTTCCTTTTTCATTTGTCCCAGGATTTTATGTTAATATGAGAATATAAAATATAGTGCAACTTTAAAGTGATGAAACTTCTTAAACACTGTGGGACTTTAAAGTTCAGGGTCTTGGGACTAGAGAGATGGCTCAGTGAATCTCTTTAAAAAGTCTTAATTCTAGGTCCCTGTAAAATCAAAGCCAAGTTAAATACATTCTTGTTTCAAAAGGAAAACCATCACAGTTGCTAGGTGATGGTGGCATATGCCATTAATCCCAGGACTTGGGAGACAGAGGCAGACCAGTCTAGACTGACCTGGTCTACAGAATGAGCTAGGGCTATGCAGAGAAACCCTGTCTGGAAAAAAAAGAAAAGGAAAGGGAAAAAAAATATCAAAAAACAATCACAGTTAAGGAAAACCAAAGTCCAGTAGTGTAGCTCCAAAAATCTTGTGGCTCAGTGTCTGACATCTTGGTTCTTGTGGGTTCCAAAGGGCTTGGGCAGCTCCCTTCTTTGCCTCTGTCATGCCTAGAATGCACAGTTCGTCTCAGATTAGGTTCAGGTCAACTCCCTTCCACATTTGCCTCTGTCTGTGATGGTCTCCTCACTGCCCTAGTATTTCCAGCTCGTCAGTAGCTCTCCTGGCCTCTCATCAGGGAGACTCCAGTCCCACATGGCACTAAGCCTCAGGTTCTCCTCATGACTCTTTCAGTTTCGGGGTTTTCACTGCAACTGAGGCTGCGCCTTCATTAACGCACCCCTCACACATTGGTCCCCCCCACTGGACCATAGTTTCTGTGTGTGATCCTGAGGGAATACTTGAACGATCTCACCTCCATGATGCTGGTCTCTTACTAAGCACAACTGATATTTTTAGCCCCAGCTAACCATCATCAACTGTCACTTCAGAGGTTCTGGTCTCCAGTTAATCACAGTTGTTCTCCAGCTCCAGCTCACCAGAAGTTACAAATTCTTAATGAAAAATATCATCTAACAGACATGGTAGCTCACACCTTTAATCCCGGCACTCAGGAGGCAGAGGCAGGTGGGTCTCTGAGTTTGCGGCTAACCTAGTCTACCCTCTCTTTCCCTCTCTCCTTCCCTCCCTGGTGGAGTCTGAGTTACTCTGAAACTTCACTAGCCAGGCCTTCACTGTCTGTGTTTCTCTCCAATTGTCTTGAACAATTAACTCATGAAGCCCAGAGCAGTCAATGAGTTTTCCAGCCCAAAGCTCCAAATTTTCTCCCTTCATCCTGTAAAACAGTCTAAGACATTAAAGCCAGGGTCAGGTCCATCACAGTATCAGTTACTAGTACCAGTTTCTCTCTTAGTTTACTCTCAGTTTCTGTGATAAAACACTGGCCAAAAGTAGTTTGAGAAGGCAAGAATATATTGACTTCCAGGTTACAAGTCCGTCATGGAGGGCAGCCAAAGCGGGAGCTGAAGCTGAGACCTTAGAGGAGCACTGCATGGTGCCTTCCTTTCCTTGGTTTGCTCACCTAGCCTTCTTATACAACACAGTACAGTTTAGAGGTTACCCCCCCGGTAGACTGGGCCCGCCTCTATCAATTAAAGTACAGGAAATTCCCTGCAGATGTGCCCACGGAGCAGACGAAGGAGGCACTTCCTGAGTTGGGTATGTCAGGTTGACAGTCCAGTTGTGCAGAGAGCCCAGGGGAACGACTCTTTAGTACTGATGTGGCTGTCCTCACCTGCAGCCCCATCTTCTCGCCTCCTAACCCTAACCTTAAGCTGTAACACCTTCATAACTGTCACTCTGCCTATTCCTCAGTTTCCTTGCCTGTGAGATGGTTGGTGCTTATAATATCTTCCCAAGGCATCTGTGCGGTATAGTTGAAGCGTGTGTTACACAATAAAGCACCAAACCAGCTAAGGAGAAATTGGTGTTGGCTTTACACTTATGTCTCTTATTAGTGTGTTCTAACAGGTGTTTGTCTTGGGGAGCACAGGCTGTGGTCCACATTCTTGGTGAGTGTGCTGTCTCCCAGTCGAGTTCTGTGCTGTGCTGTTTCTCTGCTTTGGTTTCTGACTTTTCAGGCTTTGGTGTTGCCACTTCCCTTGTTTTCTCTCTAGACGTTTCTGTGTTCTGATGCTTTAGGTATGCACGTAATGTAGAATTTTATGTTGCATTTTTAAACACATCTTGAAGATCCTGTTTTACAGTTATTTCCATTGGAGTAGCTATCTTCTTCTTCCCTTTCCTATTGACCCATCCTCAGGTTGTTTCTTCTTTCTCACCCATAATCTGGAAATACTGTTTTTCATGGTACTCTTAAATATTTGAACATGCTTAAGTTTACATTTTTAAGTGATCTAATGCTTTGTTTCAGGAGATTTTTTTATGAATCAGAGTTGGGCTTAATGAAGTTATTTTAATTTTAGGGTAAAAGAAAAAGAGATGCTCAGAAGAAAGTAAGACACTGGGTGGTGGTGGTGCACACCTTTAATCTCAGCACTCAGAAAGCCCAGGCAGGCAGCTCACTGTGAGTGTGAGACTTGCCTGGTCTACAAGTGCTAGTTACAAAGCTACAGAGAAACCCTGTCTCAAAAAACCAAAAAAGAAAAAAAAAAAAAAAAGAAAAGAAAAGACAGACAGACACATCCAAAAGCATGAGCATGGCCTTCAGAGGAGTCAGGGTCACTGCCATTTGTAATTTTACTTCCCACCATAAATTGTTGCTTATTTTACTAAACCTTTGGCATAACCAGGTGACTCAACACCTGTAATCCCAGCACTTGAGGTGCTGGGGTGAGAAGATT